GTACAAGAGTGATCCAAGAATGGATCACAGGACAGCAGTCAAAGTTATCCTTAGTAACTAGTGGACTAAGGAATTTTCTCAATTATGGAGGTGGTAAAAGAGTTCGTCGTAAAGGGTTACGTCGATGCAAGCTTAACACCTATCCGGATAGCTCTGAGTAGAGATACCGGATACGTATAATGGAGCAACAATTTAGAATAGCTCCAAGTAGAACAGTTATTTGGAATAGCTCCAAATAGAACGTGGTAGCTGCATCTAGGAGATGACATAGAGATTTGTAAAGCACACACGGATCTGAAAGGTTCAGACCCGTTGACTATAACCTCTCTCACAAGCAACATGATCAAACCCAAGACTCTTTGGATGTTGGTCACATGGTGATGTGACCTGTCAGTGTTAATCACATGGTGATGTGAACTAGATTATTGACTCTAGTGCAAGTGGGAGACTGTTGGAAATATGCCCTAGAGGCAATAATAAATTGATTATTATTATATTTCCTTGTTCATGATAATCGTTTATTATCCATGCTTGAATTGTATTGATAGGATACTCAGATACATGTGTGGATACATAGACAACACCATGTCCCTAGTAAGCCTCTAGTTGAGTAGCTCGTTAATCAATATATGGTTATGGTTTCCTGACCATGGACATTGGATGTCGTTGATAACGGGATCACATCATTAGGAGAATGATGTGATGGACAAGACCCAATCCTAAGCCTAGCACAAGATCATGTAGTTCGTATGCTAAAGCTTTTCTAATGTCAAGTATCATTTCCTTAGACCATGAGATTGTGCAACTCCCGGATACCGTAGGAGTGCTTTGGGTGTACCAAACGTCACAACGTAACTGGGTGGCTATAAAGGTACACTACGGGTATCTCTGAAAGTGTCTGTTGGGTTGGCACGAATCGAGATTGGGATTTTGTCACTCCGTGTAAACGGAGAGGTATCTCTGGGCCCACTCGGTAGGACATCATCATAATATGCACAATGTGACCAAGGGGTTGATCACGGGATGATGTGTTACGGAACGAGTAAAGAGACTTGCCGGTAACAAGATTGAACAAGGTATCGGTATACCGACGATCGAATCTCGGGCAAGTACCATACCGCTAGACAAAGGGAATTGTATACGGGATCGATTGAGTCCTTGACATCGTGGTTCATTCGATGAGATCATCGTGGAACATGTGGGAGCCAACATGGGTATCCAGATCCCGCTGTTGGTTATTGACCGGAGAACATCTCGGTCATGACTACATGTCTCCCGAACCCGTAGGGTCTACACACTTAAGGTTCGATGACGCTAGGGTTATAAAGGAAGTTTGTATGTGGTTACCGAATGTTGTTCGGAGTCCCGGATGAGATCCCGGACGTCACGAGGAGTTTCGGAATGGTCCAGAGGTAAAGATTTATATATAGGAAGTCCTGTTTCGGCCATCGGGACAAGTTTCGGGGTCATCGGTATTGTACCGGGACCACCGGAAGGGTCCCGGGGGCCCACCGGGTGGGGCCACCTGTCCCGGGGGGCCACATGGGCTGTAGGGGGTGCGCCTTGGCCTACATGGGCCAAGGGCACCAGCCCCAAGAGGCCCATGCGCCTAGGGAACCCTAGAAGGAAGAGTCCTCAAGGGGGAAGGCACCTCCGAGGTGCCTTGGGGAGGATGGACTCCTCCCCCCCTCCTTAGCCGCACCCCTTTCTTGGAGTAGGGGGCAAGGCTGCGCCTCCCCCCTCTCCCCTGCCCCTATATATAGTGGAGGGAAGGGAGGGCATCCAGACCTGAGCCCTTGGCGCCTCCCTCTCTCCCGTGACACCTCCTCCTCTCCCGTAGGTGCTTGGCGAAGCCCTGCAAGATTGCCACGCTCCTCCATCACCACCACGCCGTTGTGCTGCTGCTGGATGGAGTCTTCCTCAACCTCTCCCTCTCTCCTTGCTGGATCAAGGCGTGGGAGACATCGTCGAGCTGTACGTGTGTTGAACGCGGAGGTGCCGTCCGTTCGGCACTAGGATCATCGGTGATCTGAATCACGACGAGTACGACTCCATCAACCCCGTTCACTTGAACGCTTCCGCTTAGTGATCTACAAGGGTATGTAGATGCACTCCCCTTTCTACTCGTTGCTGGTCTCTCCATAGATAGATCTTGGTGTTACGTAGGAAAATTTTGAATTTCTGCTACGTTCCCCAACAGTGGAGTCATGGGTTCGAGCGGCGTCATGGGAATCGTGTGTGGTTGTGGTAAAAACTTGATGGTCGACGCAGTTCAGCTGGCCCACATGTCATGCACATAAAGGCAGAGGTGTGGTGGGGCCGAGAGGGGTGAGGCGCACGTCGGGGGACGTGGTGTAGTGGGTTGGAGCGGCATCGTGGGAATCGCGTGTGGCAGTGGTAGAAACGTGATGGTCGCCGTAGTTCAACTTTCATGGACAAGTTGCCATGTCTACTGACACATGCATTGCATACCAATCACTGCAAGGAGTAGTAGAGAAAACTAGGCGGGTAAATAGTTCATTATAGTCAAGCGAACCTACACTACTACACTTGTTCCAAAGACATCCACACCAGCGGAATAGTTCATCTATATCAATGTACATAGAGAAAAAAAATATTTTTTTACAAGAGAGGAAATAGTTCATCCATCTATAATGCCCTGCTGCTGGTGCAACTTCTTCTTCTTCTTCTCATTTTCTGTGGGAGACGGCTTCACAACAAGCTCTTTCAAACTTGCAGCTATCTCGAAACTCACGCAGGCATCAAGGGCAGCATATTTTATCCGCTCATAGGTCAAGGGACAGAATTTGCTACGTCGAATAGGGATGGTGTTTCTTTATCACAATCGTCTACATGAATTTTGGTTTGTAGGCCAGCGATGTTTTCCAAGTCAAGGTTGTACGGCTTCAGCTTCTGTGTGTCCCCTTCGATAGCTGCCCCACAGAAGTATATGTCCTCCTGAGACATGAAATCATGGAGCTCACCTGATAGGGAGGGCGCATGTATGATGTGATACACCAAAACTTCATCTTCGAGGCACAGCTGAAGGACGACGCGTGTTGGATCTTCCCAGTGGCACGCTCCATGCACTCTGCGCTGAGACAGATGACCTTCATGTCCACCTTTTCGAGGGAGTTGGATACACTGTTGATCCACTCCCGAACAACCCTTGGGTGGTCGGTGACGGTGGCAACTATGCTCAATGAGCCTTCGACGAGGACATGTTTGACGCTAAAAACCTGCATAGGGATCTCTTTCACCATTTGTAACCGCTGGACCGGAGGGCTATGGTTTGGAGCAGGATTAAGATGGCTAGTCTAACTGAAGAATATGATTATTTAAAGGGGCTTCGGAATTACTCCAGGAGTATCTGAAGAGATTAAAGCAATGTGAATCCAGTGGGGTTTGAATGCAAATTAAGGAGAGGTGAAGAAGCCGAGGAAAACTGATTCCCGATGAAGAAGTAAATGCGAGAAGTGGCATGCAAGCAGTTGATTAGACGGCTAGGTAGACCAACCTGCAAAACAAAAAGGCTATGCGGGCAGCATACTGAGAAGTGGTACATGTCCGTGTACGTGTTCATCCTTCTATCGCTACATGTGCCACTGGTTAATTAAGGTCACTCTTGGCCAACAACGTGGCGTCAGGATGGTCGCCACGATCATGTTCTACGCCGGCGAGGAGCGCATGAGGGCCGTCGCCATGCCTGACGCCCATTGTAGGCTTCCTTCAGTGAGCACCGATCTTTGTTGAAGCCGGCGGCGAGCTCACATGCTTCTGATAAGTAGCACTTCCTCTGTCCTATAATATAAGAGCGTTTTTGACACTGCACTAGTATCAAAAACGTTTTTATGGACATAGGGAGTAGCAAACGTTGTGTGGTCCTTTACGGCGAGCCCAGTGCCCACTCCTAAGCTTGTTGCTCAAGGCCCGTGTTGTTCTCCATGGCTTCACAACTTTCTGGTAAGTACTCCTTCTGTCCCAAATATGTGTCGTTGATTTAGTATAATTTTAGTACAAAATTGTACTAAGTCAGCGACACTTATTTTGGGCCGGATGGAGTAGCAAACTAGCAGCTGCTGCTCATGTCTTATTTCTCTTCACAACAGCACACACAATGCAATATTGAGGGGTTAGTTTAACTTGGCTCAGAACACACCAGGCAATGTGTGGCTGGAGCAAGATCAAGCCAAAGAAATCCCACGGTGGTCTCTGGCTAGATATTCAACTCCTTGTCTGCTTTAAAGATTCTTAGGCATGTGGCAATGTGACTCGACTCCTTGCGATGAATTTAGTTTAATGTGTTCTTGTTAAATTTTGTTGGTTCGACTCAGAAATTCCTGTTGCTGCTTGAATTATGCACCTGGAATCTCCATAACAATTCTGCTTTCTGTATCATCCGATGTACCTGGGGACTGGTGGACTCGTGGTGCTCCTCGGCAGCTATGTCAAAGCTATATACCTGGCTGTACAAAACTAGTACTCCCTCCGTTCACTTTTGGAAGTCGTTTCAGACAACTTTGCACGCTGTCTGAAATGTCTTAAACACCTTATAAAAGTGATAAGTGAACAGAGGGAGTATGAGTTATAACTTTTATGCAGAAAACTACCGGTAATGGCAGCACTTTAACTATTTTCTCTGGCGACGAGGTTAACCCTCATTTTTGTATACTTGGACAAAGACAAAGGAGACTTTTGTCAATGAGTAATAGACTAATAGTAGCACAGAGAGAACAATAAATATAGTGCACTGCTGCATTACAGCGATAAAACCAACACCTAGCAGGTTAAATATCATGCCTTGACAAGAGCCAGCCACCTAATCACAAGTCATGAACGAAAACACCTAGCACTAGCAGGTTACGAACCAAGTAAATATCATGGAACACAAACTCCTAGCAGGTTGATTATCATGTCACCACAATATTCATCATGATACTACTTAGGTTCGCAAAACCAGCAGGTCCGCCATCAGCCAAGATCATCTATGAACCGTATTTCTAGCAGCGGTCGATGACAACATGCCACAGCGTGCTCTTGATGACTTTGAAGGTGCAGATGTCTCCTGCCTTGAGCTCGTTCTCCTTACAGAAGGCCTTCCAGCCTCTCGTAAGACAATTATAAGACCTGTTGGTGCCTGGATGGTAGTTGACACCTTCCACCTCCCAAGACTTGTTCCTCTCCACGGACTTGAGCGTGATCTTGCAACGCTCCAGGAATCCGAAGCGTGCTGGAAAATGCTGCAAGCCATTGCGATCGCACGGGTTATTTGTATCACAGTTCGTGGGTGTATGATGACAAATATTATACACCTAGTTGATAATAAACTGGCATGTCAAGTAGTTTGATTGGTTGGTTGGTTCCCTTATTTCCAAAAGGTGCACTCTTATTTCTTACTCTCTTTTTCAAATAATGATTGTACTTACAAGATATCTTTTAAGCGCGAGTCCGTTGATCTCCTTCCTTAACCAAGCCTGTGATCCCGTCGACCCAAGCTCACAGAGAGCCTTCTTTCGGTGTTGTGAAGTTGTGGGTCCGTCTAGCATGCTTTTGACTTCGCTTTGTTTCCTTTTCCGGCTGCAAACATGTTCTTCCTCTTGGCTTTGTGCTCCAGGTGCTAAGAGGACAATGGTAGTAATCAATTTAATCTATTACCAAGATATATAGTTTTTCAGAAAAAGTTGAGGCTTGTTTCATACTTTTGCCATTGCTTTGTTTCCTTTTCTGAGTGGACACAGGTTCTTCTTCTTGGCTTTGTGCTCCAGGTGCTAAGAGGACAATGGTAGTAATCAATTTAATATATTACCAAGATATAGTTTTTCAGAAAAGATGAGGCTTGTTTCATACTTTTGCCATTGCTTTGTTTCCTTGTCCGAGTGGAAACATGTTCTTCCTCTTGGCTTTGTGCTCCAGGTGCTAAGAAGACAATGTTAGTAATCAATTTAATATATTACCAAGATATAGTTTTTCAAAAAAGTTGAAGCTTGTTTCATACTTATGCCACTGCTTTGTGTCCTTCTCCGAGTGGAAACATGTTCTTCCTCTTGGCATTGTGCTGCAGGTGCTAAGAGGACAATGGTAGTGATCAATTAAATCTATTACCAAGATATAACTTTTCAGAAAAATTTGTTTACTCACATTGCTCGCTTTGCTGAGACGAGCTTATTTTTTCCTCGGTGTGCTCATTATTCCCATTTGGGAAGGTCTCGAATGAGAAGTTCATGCACCCTTGATACTTGATCAGCAGGACATCGGTTTCAGCAATTTCAAAGTAGGCCAGAAACTTTGGCCATTCGGAACCAGTGAAGAAGACATTCGGGCCATCCTTCTTGAGCTCGATATGCCAGGATGTTAAAAAAGTGGCTATCGGTCTCGGTCTGTTCAGGTCTTCTTCCGAGATGTATCCTCGTTGCAGAAACTCGGGAGGAATAGGCTGCGAGGACAGGTGAAACAGCATAATGGAGTGAACATAGTCAGCAGCTTAATGATGGTGCACTTAAGGACTTGGTTCTGAACATTTAAACAAGAAAAGTAAGCAAACCATCTTTTCCATGAAACTTCTCTGAAGTGGCACGATGAACTGTGGCTTACGAGCAAAGGCGTTCTCAATCTCGGCTGGGCTCAAAACTAAACATGAACAAGAGTGAATTAGCTATGAATTTTTAGGCCGAAAGTACGAGTAACTGTGAAAGTCCAAACACACCAGTGATTGTTAGGCCGAACTCTTTAATGACAAAGCTGGAGTTGAACGCCTTTAGAGTGAGCACGCCGCACCCTTCATGCCGGATCACCAAGTACCAGCCAACGCCAATACCGTGCGCGGCAACAAACTGTGGCCACCCATCACCCAGGAATGCCCCTTTGGCGTCTCGGTCGACCTTGACAGGCCAGACATTCTTGCCGAACGGGCTGAGAACGAGGGCCGTCCGCCCATCACCATGATCTTCGGTACCAAAGCACCCAGCGAGCTCATCGTCGATGTGCTGCATAACCAAAGTGGGGGTCGTCACGGAAGTATATATCAGAATTTAAGATGGACAACACAACAGCAGTAACAGTGGTGTCGTTCTTACAAGATAGTTGGAATCAGGCAATTTCACACACTGCTGGACCTTGATTGTCTTAGCACAGTTACTTGACAATCCCATTGCTTTAACAGATCCAAGAAAGAAGTTCCACCACCTGCAAGCAGTGAATAACATGTAAATGTGCATGAGAATGACAGAGAAATGCATCAATCAACTTGGGGACCCAAGCATCAAGTGTAAAAGAATGTTAAACAGCATATGCAAAACTGTTTAATCTTAGGGATGCCTTTGAGTATGTACTCCTAGGAGTACTAACCCATTTTTTCTTTCTTTCTTATATATGCCCTGTGAAGAGTTCTATTTTGTGATTGATGCCTGGCTGTGCCCTGGGTTTCCTCTTCACGCTGCCGGACACCTAAATCTTAGTGATTTTTTTCTTTCTTATAAATTTTTTTTGTGATGGCAATGCTAAATTTTAGCATCGTGTAGTTTATTTGCACTGGACCTTAGGGATGCTTTAAAAAAAATGTGACAGCATCACAGCAATGCTAGATTTTAGCCCATTGGAACCGGCCCATTTATTGTAGGGGTTGGACCTGGCCATCGTTCGTGCACGGAGTAGAGGGCGGCGCCGCCGCCGCCTCTTCCTCCTCGCAAGTAGCCCGTCCCTCCCCCGCCTCACACCCTAGTCCCCATCAAGAACCGGCCGGACGCGACGTCCAGGCCGCCGAGGTCGCCGCTACCGCAGATCCATTCCCCGTTCACCCTCCCACTGCTCAACACCCTCGATTTGAGTGAGGGAAACTAATTGCATCTAACAAGCCAAGGGTTTCAATCAAGAATTTAGGAGGAGAGGAGAGGGGGGAAAGGAGGGAGGAGATGGGGTTACCTCCTGCCCTTCCGGCCTTGCTCCTTCCTTGCGCTGGCCGTCGGCCGTCGGCCGCCGCGCAAGCTGCGCGCGTGCCTACGCTAAGGGAGGGGAGACGAACTGGAGGAACGGGGCGAGGGAGGGGAGGCCAGCGGCGGACGAGCTAGTCGATGACTCGATGATACTCCTTTACTGCACTGCATTCACTCGAGTGGAGAGCTAGCTTCCTTTCTTCGCTTGTCAGCGTGTCATATTTTTTTTTTAGACATGTCATCGTGTCATATGGATTTATTTGCCCTGGCCAAACCTGGCCAAACGGGCCGGCCCGACCCATCGTAATCGTGCCTGGCCCGGCACGGCCCATCAGGGCACGATTACTATACGGGCCGTGCCGTGCCGGACCGCGTGCTGCACCTCCTGCCCAGGCACGACCCAATTAGTAAACGGGCCGGCACGTTGGCCAGTTTAGCACGCGGTTCAGACCTATTGGGCTATATTTTAGGCATACATATATAAAAAAATGAAAATTATATAATAAATAAACTGGTCGTGTCGTGCTGGCCCCGCGTGCCCAGGCTTCAGGCCCAGGCACGGCCCAAGGCGTGTCGCGTGCCGGGCACTGCCCATTTAGCCTGTGTCGTGCCTGGCCCATGACGGGTCATGCCGGCGTGCTCGCGGGCTGGCCCGTTTAGCCTGACACGTTTGGCCAACCCTGCCTCCAAGTTCATGTTTTTTTCTTTGCCAGAAAATTGGTTAGCTCAAGTCATGCTCTTACCTGATACTATTACTCTTGTAGAGAAAGTTTATTTGTAAGAAAGTTTATTCGTTGCAGATGAACGGATGAACAATACTTCGTCTGATCAGTTAGTTTATATTTACCCACTACATTCTTTACTATTGACTATTATCTATTGACTCCTGAATTTGTTAGCTCCGGCTCCTCAAAAGTGACCCTCGTATATGTCTACAGACCGTCTCGCGTTTCTGCGTCAGGGTCTAATCAACCCTCATTTTCACTGCAACCACAAACCTCAAATCTCATATATTTTTTATGCTACATCATGTAGCATAAAATGAGCTAGTGTATAGTGTCAAAAAACGTTGTTATATTATTGGATAGAGGGAGTATTAAGTAGCCACGACTTTTCTAGTTCTCCAAACATTCACAACCTCACTGTCACAGCGCCGGACAGTATCTGTGAGGAAGCAATCCATAGCATTCACACTTATCTAGACAATTTTAGAGTGTTTGTTAGAGTTGTCTATGATTAATAATGTCTCAAGTAGTCATTAACCACATACACGACTATTTCAATAGGTTTCAACCCTGCGGGGTGTACTTTTACACACATGCTCCATCAATTACCACCTTGGGATGGAGTCCTTCCAGAGAATACCGGTGAGGATGTTACCATGACCGTAGGCTACGGAAGTCGCCTATCTGAGTGGGAACCCGCGATTGGAAGTTTGACCGAAGTTTTCAACACGGTCTCAAACGTTGTGTGTGTGGCCCAAGCCTGTCACGATTGGGCCGTTCATCCACTTTGTAGGTCGTACCACGTCCTACAAACTCTTCAAACTACTACAACTCATAGACTGAGATGAAGAAAATTAATAAGTCGAGAGGGTCGATAGCTGCAATCCGTAGTTCCGGCTCCTCGTCGTACTCCATGTCTGAAGACTTCCTCCAGCTCGCGCTGCGGAGGATTACTGTGACCTTGAGCTCCGGCCGGATGGACTCAAGGATGGCCTACTGCTTTGCCGCCTCCTTCGCTTGGGCCAACACGTCATCCATGACGAATCTGGTTGAAGGAAGCACCGGATTCGCCTCCCTACCCACCTCCTCCTCTTCATCTGTTTCCGTGTCCCGTGCCTACTGCTCCGCCTCCTCCTACTCTAGTCTATTTTGTGATTGATGCCTGGCTGTGTCCTGGGTTTCCTCTTCGCGCTGCCGGATGCTTTAGTCTTCGGGATTTTTTCTTTCTTAAAAAAATGTGATGGCAATGCTAAATTTTAGCATCGTGTAGTTTTTTTTAGACATTCGTGTAGTTTATTTGCACTGGACCTTAGGGATGCTTTAAAAAAATGTGACAGCATCACAGCAATGCTAGATTTTAGCCCATTGGAACCGGCCCATTTATTGTAGGGGTTGGACCTGGCACGTGCACAGAGTAGAGGGCGGCGCCGCCGCCGCCGCGCCGCCTCTTCCTCCTCGAAAGTAGCCCGTCCCTCCCCCGCCTCACACCCTCGTCCCCATCAAGAACCGGCCGGACGCGACGCCCAGGCCGACGAGGTCGCCGCTACCGCAGATCCATTCCCCGTTCACTCTCCCACTGCTCGACACCCCAGGGGTTTCAATCAAGAATTTAGGAGGAGATGAGAGGGGGGAAAGGAGGGAGGAGATGGGGTTACCTCCTGCCCTTCCGGCCTTGCTCCTTCCTTGCGCTGGCCGTCGGCCGTCGGCCGCCGCGCCAAGCTGCGCGCGTGCCTGCGCTAAGGGAGGGGAGGGGGAAGGGGAGACGAACTGGAGGAACGGGGCGAGGGAGGGGAGGCCAGCGGGGGACGAACTAGTCGATGATACTCCTTTACTGCACTGCATTCACTGGAGTGGAGAGCTAGCTTCCTTTCTTACTTGTCAGCGTGTCATATGGATTTATTTGCCCTGCCTCCGAGTTCATTGGTGTGTTTGGTTTGTGACCAATGTTGCCCCACCAAAGCATTGGCTAGGTACAATTTTGATTAAGATTTTGGTTGCCCATAATTTGGCTAACATTGGCAATAAAAATGAACTAGAGTTGGCTAGAGTTTATTGGTATGCCAAAAATTGGCAACCATTCAAACAAAGACCAATCCTTGGGTCATCACCAAAAAATTTGTAGGGTGCACTTTGGCCACAATCCAAACACACTCCATGTCTTTTTTCTTTGGCAGAAAATTGGTTAGTTCAAGTCATGCTCTTGCCCGATAGTACTCCCTCCGTTTTCAAATATTTGTCTTTCCAGAGATTTCAACACATGACTACATGCGAAACAAAATGAGTAAATCTACATTTTAAAATATGTCTACATACATCCTTATGTTGTAGTCCATTTAAAATGTTTAGAAAGACAAATATTTAGGAACGGAGGGAGCACTACTCTTGTAGAGAAAGTTTATTTGTCAAGAAAGTTTATTTGTTGCAGATGAATGGGTGAACAATACTTCGTCTAATCAGTTAGTTTACATTTACCCACTACATTCTTTACTATTGACTATTGACTCCTGAATTTGTTAGCTCCGGCTCCTCAAAAGTGACCCTCGTATATGTCTACGGACCATATCGCGTTTCCGCAACAGGGTCTGGTCAACCCTCGTTTCCACTGCGACCACAAACCTCAAATCTCATATATTTTTTATGCTAATGTAGCATAAAATGAGCTACTATAGTGTCAAAAACGCTCTTATATTATGGGACAGAGGGAGTATTAAGTAGCTACAACTTTTCTAGTTCTCCGGACGTTCACAACCTCATTGCCGGCAGTGCCGGGCGGTATCTGTGAGGAAGCAATCCATAGCATTCACATTTATCTAGACAATTTTAGAGTGTTTGTTAAAGTTGTTTATGATTAATCATGTCTCAAGTAGTCATTAACCACAGACATGACTATTTCAATACTCCCTCTCTCTCAGTTTACAGGGTGTGCACGTACCCCTAGATCATCAATTTCACTGACCTAATACAAGTCATATATTGCAAAAAGTATAGCAATATAAATTTCAGATGTTCTATTTTCAAAAGGTATAATTTTTGTGTTATATAGTTTATATTAGGGTGATAAAATTGGCAACCTAGGTAATCGTGCAGGACTTGTAAACTTAAACGGAGGGAGTAGGTTTCAACCCTGCAGGGGTGTACTTTTACATACATGCTTCATCAATTACCACCTTGGGGTGGAGTCCTTCAAGATGATGCCCATGAGAATGTTACCATGACCGTAGGCCGGGGAAGTCGCCTATCTAAGTGGAACACGCGATTGGAAGTTCGGACGAAGTTTTCAGCACGGTCTCAAACATTGTGTGCGAGGCCCAAGCCTGTCTCGATTGGGCCATTCATCCACTTCGTAGATCGTGCCACGTTCTACAAACACTTCAAACTACTACGACTCCTAGACTGATATCAAGGAAATTAATAAGTTGAGAGGGTCGTTAGCCGACGCGAAGACTTCCTCCAACTCGCGCCACGGAGGATTACCGTGACCTCGAGCTCTGGCCG